AAAAAAAATCCTTATTTCTTCTTCCCCTTGAAAAGGGTTTTAGAGATTGCTCCGTTTTTCTTGGCTTTTCTAGACTTTCTTAGCACAAACAATCCTTCTGATTCCCCAGAATGGGATGAGAGATTAGGATTCTGTTTCCAGATTGACCGCAGCCTAAACATATGTCCTTTAATAAGTCGTAGCTGCTTTGTCATCGTTTCTGTGCAGCAGCTTTTTCTCCCAACTGGCTTAGTGATTATCTTGCACAGCTATCGTGAGGTTTAATTTGATGTCTTTGCTCTCTGGATGCAAAGTTGTAGTGTCATATATTAGACTCTTATTTGATTAAGAATAAACTTATGCTAATGACACTTAAGAGTAACTCTTCCCCAGATATGTTCCTTTAGTGCTATATATTAAACTGTATTTGCATGGTGAACATCAATTACAGCTTCCCAGGCTACTCAGAAAAAGTTGTTAAAACTAATCTCCTTGTTGAGAACTTAAAAACTGAAGTCCTCTAGAAAGGCAATATTGTAAAGGGTTCAAAGCTGCAAACCAAAAGTTTGCTGGAGCTTATCACATGTTTTTGTATCCAATTTTCAACGCAGGCATAGACATGACACCCAGGGAATCTTTGGCTTACGTTGTGCACAGGTCCCAAAGTCACAGCATACTGATGTTATTCCAGAACAGTTCTGTGTCCTTAAACTACTCTCTCCCTTTTGTAGCAGAATACCTGGGTAATTGCAATGTGGAAAAAATTTACTCTTGATCCTCGCCCAAGCCCAGGTTAGTGCAGAGAACAGATCAGTTTGTTAGCCAGGAGCACATTAAGTGCCAGCATCGTAATGGTTTGGGCCCTTAGTCCTTACTCTTCAGTATCCCGTTTTAAGAACGGGGATTATATCTATCTCATTTTAAACATAAGCAGTGCTCAGACAGTATGGTAATGCATAAGCCAGATCATTTACTGTACAAGGTCCATGCCAGGCTGCATACGGAAATGTTTTCTCAAGCTGCTCTCCTTAGAGTTACAAAGCTGGGAATAGCGTTGTACCAGCTGCGTCCCCAGTTCTGAGGAAGAACCCGCCATGCGTCAACCCAATTTAAATACCCTATAGTAGCCCTTAATAGTGACTGCAACACCTGCTCTGTCCTGTTTCAAATGTTCCTGGATCATCTTGCAGGTAGATCATGCATGCAAGGTTAATAGTCAAATTGTAGCACAGTTACCTAAAAATAAACTCTCAAACATGACACAGTTGTCTTTGGCTCTCTTCTAAATCCTGCAAAGCCAGTCATGTAGAAAATGGTTAGCCTGGAACACAAAGGGTAGACCCGAAAGGCTGATAATCTAAATGGAGTTGTTTAATTTCTTGGGTAATAAGAGCAATAGCTCTGAAGATTGGAAAGAGTTGAGCTCTTCTCTGAAGTGTTTGTATTATGATTGGCTT